TTGAGTTCCAACTCTCAATCCTTTCAAGCATTCTTGCCCAAACCACTTCAGACACCTTCCCTACCATCAATCCAAACTATCCAAAGCATTAGAAGCAACCTGTAACTCCTCTAATCCTTTTGGCCATTTTCACTTTTCTGATTTGCAGGTGAAGTGCTCCAGCACGATTCAAAAGGTTTCAAGACAAAGTAAAGCTTGGAATAGCATCCTTGGACATCAAGGAAGCTATACCAATCATCACCTTGCACCGAAAGCTTCTCCATTGCCAGATAGAACTTCAACTGAACAGGTAAGTTCATGAACTCGTATCTCTCTTATTAGGCATTGGTAGCTTTAGGTTTGTGAAGAAAACATGTCACAATCATAGCCCTGGACATGCCCATATAATTAGATTTCATTTATATTATGTATGCTTAGAGAATTTGATGTCTGAACTTTGAACAAAAATTAGGTTAAGAATTGGGAGAGAAGAAATTCTCTCTCATTTCTGAGAGTTAAAACATGTTCTTTATATGTGTGAATTCGTGAGAAGATGCTTAACAGTTTTGATGTTGGAAGTTTTTGCTAAAACTCAAAGAATCAGGACCTTGCAATGGAAGAAAGAGGCACGTGTTTTTGTTCAAACAGAAGTCTGGAGGTTGAAGAAGGGTCTTCATGGGCTGGGCTTGTGTTGACTTTTCTTTTTGCACCATACATTTGCTTCTGAACCCCCTGAGCCCATTTTGTTCATTTTTAATGTTTTTTGACTTTTCTTTTTTTGGTTTGACTTATTTATTTTTCCTCATAATATAAAAAATATAAAAATATTTTTTTACACCATTTTTGAATTTATTAGGTATTTGTTTGTTTTAGTCTAGCTTTATACACAAATAAATGAATATATACATTTTATTAAAAATACTAAGAAATATGCAAAAACACTTTTATTTTCATTTTTATTTTTGTTTTACCCTCTGAAAATATTTTATAGAAAAAAATACTTTTTTTATTAAATATTAAATATATATAATACATATTTAGTAAATAATACATATATATATATATATATATATATATATATATATATATATATATATATATATATATATATATATATATATATATATATATATATATATATATATATATATATATATATATATATATATATATATTTAGGATTAAAATGCAAAATACACACTTTTTATTTTTATTAACATTTAAATATAAAAAGAATACCTTTTTACAAATATACTTCATTTTTATTTTATTTTTGTATACCATAAATAAATACTTATACATAATAAATAAATAATGCATTTTATTTAATAGAATTAGGGTTTAACCCTAAACATGAAAAAACTCCCAAAAATAATACTTTTCTTTTTGTTTATTTTGACACATAAAAAATATTTTTTTTCATACATACAAAAAACCATTTTTGCATCTTGCATATTTATTCTTATTTTATTTTATGCAAATTAATTATTTTGTAAATAATTCAAATATTGATGTAATAGTTAGGTTTAAATTCCTTGTCAAAATCCCCATTTGAACATTTGTACCCCCCTTCCCTTATATGGTTTTGTAATAGCTTAGTAAATTTATTTTCGCACTTTATCGCTTTCTAATTATGCCATGTTAGAATTAGGGTTTGTATGCGAAAAAACAATGAAAATAGTTTTGACCTAATTTCAAGATAAACAAGCATGAAAATGGACACACAAATCACACTTGCACCCCCTAGGGTATTCCACTTGTTGCCTTTCAAAATTGGGCCATATTGCATGTTAGGTCTCTTTGGGCAAAACAAACACAAACCAAATGATCATAGTCCCTCGATGACGCTTCCAAAATGTTACCTAAACAAATGATCAAGTCCCTTAAAGAAAATTGTCCAAAGATACTTGGCACCATTGCAATTATGGTCTAAACGACGACCCACGCCCGTCCCTTTCACATCCTAACACAAGATTGTCCACCAAATGCAGTGGTGGAACAAAATTGTTAAAAGGGTTTAAAACATAGCAATAAACCTTGAGAAATTTAGGAGTAGATAACCTCTTAGTTACTTGAATCAAACTTGCAAAAACAAAACACTTGCCTATTTTCTAAAACCACACCTCACAACACTTTCAAAACAAACTTTCAAAAACAAATGAAAACCTTTTCAAAAGACATACACCTTTGTATACATCCCAACATGGATCATTACAAAGGTTGCCACCACATTGGCTTCTTTTCGAAACATTTTCAAACCCACACACACAAAGCACCATTTCAAACAATTGAAAACAAAAGGCAAATGATCTAAGCAAGTAACTAAGAGCCCATGGATAACCATGGATAGAAAGGGTGCTAATACCTTCCCTTTCTATAATCTACTCCCCGAACCCGAGAAAACATCTCAAAAGGTTTTTTTCTGTGCTTTTTAACCTTTCCTTAGGATAAAATAAAAAGTCGGTGGCGACTCTTGCTCAACCGAAACATTTTCGAAAACAAACGCAAAACCATAGTCAGTTCTCCCACCGTATCACAGAGTGCGTGCGTTTTTGTAGGCGTGTATATGCGTGCATCTTTTCTCACACAGACTTGTATATATAGCCAAGGCAAAGATACGTTGTTGTCCATAAACCACTTTCAATGATAATAATGTTCTTTCCTTTTTGAGAAGATCTTGTCTTGGATAAAGCCGTTGGTAATTAATTTGTCTTGAATGCTTAGTAACGCTTCAGAGTCTTCTTTGTGATAATCAGAGTGTTCTTTGCTTTAACTGGATGATGACGCTTCTGAGTGCTGATGACTTGGTAAAGATCTTTAATCAGAGTCAGAGTATTTTATGCGCAGATTCTGGTCATCAGACTTCAGCGTGTAGTCTGGTAACTTCAGCGTGTAGCACATGTTATTGATCTTCTAATGCTGATATATCTTCTGATGCTGATGTTGATACTGGTCTTCTGATGCTGATTCTATCAGAACTTCTGTAAACATAAAACATAATTTTAAGTAGCATATATGTCTTATATATAAATCTTACAATTTATTTATTCTTGTATTTTGTTATCATCAAAACTCTAATTGAGGGTTGTAGAATCAAACTATGTTCTAACAAAGAACTTGAAAGAAATAAAGAGATTGATATTCAGTATATTCGTTCAAGTGATAATGTGACATATATCTTTACAAAGGCAATTCCTATATCAGTTTTCAAGAAGCATGTACAAAATATTGGAATGCGTCACCTTCGAGATCTTTAAAGAAGAACTATATGTGTTATGTTGAGGGGGAAAGCGTGCAGACACTGCATCTTTGGAGCCTAAAAACACAAAAATTTATGTAAATGCACGTTCCCGCAAAAGCACGCGTAGAAAACGGGGTGGGACGGGACGAACACATTAGAGGATAAAGGCCTAACAGGCATTCCCAATGGGCCGAACCCGTTTTGTCACCCCTAATTTTTATCCCAATGGATTTTTCCTTATAAGTTTTTTAATGAGGCATCATATGTTCCCATAAGATTCTCCATGATAAGACTTCAATGAAGCACCGTGATAGATATTTCAAGAGGGGAGTGTTATAATAACTAATAAGATAATATAATATTATTATTAAAAATATTTATCTTAAATATTAATGACAAATTATTGGAGGTGTTGAATTTGTTAAAGATAGAATAGTAATACCAATTATTCACTTAGTATAATAGTAATATTTTTACTAATATAAATACCTCATTTGATAAATGTAAATGGATACACCAATCTCACTTTAAAAATACTTACTTCTTCATTCTCTCTAATTTGATATTATAAATCATTATCATCATATTAGTTTCACAAATATTAACTAAATTATATTTAAATATCTAACTTTTTAAAATAGTTTCCTACATCTAACACGAGAAAATTGATATTTCAAAGATACTCGTGACATTATTTTTCCTAAGGTCACGGGTTCATCTTTCCATTATCCCTAAAATTTTATTTTTATAAATTAAAATTAATTAATTCTTTAAAAATAGATATATAATTAAAAAAAATTATTCTAAAAAAATTGAAATCATTAAAATTTATTGAAATTTAATTTAAGTTTTTTATAAATATAATAATTATATTATCATTAAAATAAAAATTAATTATTTATCAAATAAAAAGAATATAAATTTTTTTAGATCAAATAGTGTAGTGACAAAGTTCACATTTAAAAATTGAATAAGTGAGATAAATATAATATGTAATTAATTATTGCAAATGAACATTTTCTTATCTATTATAAAATATAAATTTAAAATTAAAAGAGGAAATAAAATTCCAGAAAAAAGAAAACGGGGGAGATTAATAAATTGAATTTTAAATGAAAAGGAAAAAAGGAAAGTAAAGTTGAAATTAAGCCTAATACTCTTTCTGTTTCTTTTTAAGTGTCATTTTAACATAAAGCTCTTTAATCAAGATAGTGAATTATTAAAGTTATTTTTTCTATTATACCCTCGTTTATTTTCTCTTTTCAAATAAATTCAATCATATATCATCTCTCTTTTTTCACTAATGAGAAAATAATTAATTTTATGAAAAATACAAAGTGAAATTATTGAAAAAATAAAAATATAATTGACAAATAATAACATTAAACTATAAAAATGATATTTAAATAAAAACAAAAATATTCTTCTAAAACGACACTCCTATTAACTATTGGAAGTGGCTTTGATCAAAAAGAAAAATAAAAATGAGTGGAAGTGGTGAGAGAGTCATAGTTTAATTAGTCGATGATTTGAGCATATACACTAATTACTTGTTTCCTTCCTGACCCAACTTTGCAAACCGATTTGATTTGAATCTTATCACGAAAATCATTCATCTCTTTCGTAAGTTCTTCCCTGATCCCTCTTATCTATTGAATGTTTTATTGAATGTTGTTTTTGCAATTGAATTTGTTCTAATTATAGTTTGAATCTGAATCTTGTGATTGGAATACTGTATATGTGAATTATTATTGCAGGAGAGAAGTCAAACAAACAAAACATGTCATCCATTTCGTATGAAATCAATATGAGATCAGGTGCTGCAGATCTGGCCACTGCTATAGTACCTTTGCTCAAGCTCCTCTGCTTAACCGTCATTGGACTACTTCTTGCAAACCCTACAATGCAGTTTATCCCAAGGGCCACATTCAAACTCCTTAGTAAACTCGTCTTTGCTTTGTTCTTACCATGCCTTATACTCACCGAGCTCGGCGAAACCATTACTCTTCAAAATTTCATTGATTGGTGGTTCATCCCTGTTAATGTTCTCGTCAGTACCTCTCTCGGTTGTTTACTCGGCTTCTTCGTCGTTCTTATATGTCGCCCCCCACCACAGTTGAGGCGTTTCACTGTTATCATGACAGGGTTTGGTAACACCGGGAATCTTCCCCTTGCTGTTGTTGGATCTGTTTGCCATACTAAGGATAATCCATTCGGGAAACAGTGTAACACAAGAGGTGTTGCTTATGTATCTTTTGCTCAATGGGTTGCTGTTATACTTGTTTATACTCTTGTTTATCATATGATGGAGCCTCCTATGGAGTATTATGAGATCGTTGAGGATGCTGAAATTGAAATTGAAGAACAACGACGCGCCTTGAATGATATTAGTAGACCGCTTCTTGTTGAAGCTGAGTGGCCTGGTATGGAGGATAAAGAGACTGTGCATTCTAAAACACCTTTCATTGCTAGGGTATTTAAGAGTATCTCCGGAATTTCTTCGTCCGCAGTTCCTGATCTTGAAATAACGGTTGAAAACAGTGGAGGTGACGACAGTCCAAGGTCAATTAGGTGTTTGGCTGAACCTAGAGTTGTAAGGAGGATCAGAATTGTAGCTGAACAAACTCCTCTTCAACATATACTTCAACCACCAACAATTGCATCTCTGTTGGCTATCATAATTGGCACAGTACCTCAATTGAAAGCTTTGTTCTTCGGATATGATGCTCCGTTATCGTTTATTACCGACAGTTTGGAGATTGTAGGTGGAGCGATGGTGCCTTCTGTGATGCTTATATTAGGGGGTATGCTTGCGGAAGGACCAAATGAGTCTAGACTTGGACTTAGAACAACAATTGGTATTGTTGTGGCAAGACTTTTAGTGCTTCCTGTTATTGGTATTGGGATTGTTGCATTGTCCAATCAGCTTAATTTCTTGGTTGAAAATGATGCTATGTTTAGATTTGTGCTTTTGTTGCAGTACACATCACCTAGTGCTATATTACTTGGAGCAATTGCAAGCTTGAGGGGTTATGCAGTTAGTGAAGCTTCAGCACTTCTGTTCTGGCAGCATGTGTTTGCCCTTTTCTCCCTTTCCTTTTACATTGTTATCTACTTCAGAATAATTGAGTATATCTGAAGTTTTTTTTATGTATTTCACTACCTTGTGTTGTATAAATTGTTTGTTGTCTAAGGTTGGACTTGGAGCTACGATGAAGGCATAAAATTGTTAACTTTATTGGTTTGGTATTTATGAAGGATACCAACAAGTTTGTTACAATGGTTTTGAACATCTTTTATGTGGTCAACCATGTTTATCTTTTGAAAGTTAAGTCTTCAGATGCAGCGCGGTACTTAGGCTTGCGCTTTTACGTTGTTCTTTAACTTTATCTGAAAATAAGTTAACTTTTTCTTCTTTCCATAAAATGTACAATCAAGGTTCTATTATGCTTATGTTCAAAAACATAATTTGTACAGACAAAAAGAAACAGAAAGTATGATGGACTATAGTCACTAAACTTTTGAAGTACATCCCAACACTATGCGACCACACAAGTTATTGGAGTTGCCTCAAAGTCAGGTTTACAATCCACCTGAACACTACTGTCTCAATTCATAACTAAAAATTCATCATCAAAAAGCATTTTGTGATCATAAAAAAATCAAACTTGAGTTTACAACACGCACATCAAAGATTTCCACCATATCATGGTGGTTCGTAGAATATATGATGCATACTACTACAAATATTTACTCTTTTTGTAGTCCATACTTATTTTTATTACTTAATGGCTATTGATTCTTATCTGATTGTTGTCTCTATATAGCTATCAACTGAGATGACTTAACGAAAATATTTTTATCTTCTTTTTATATAAAAACATATTCATAGAGCCAAAATTTACATAAATGCTCCAAGTTTTGTTTATCAAGTGGCTCCAAACATAAGATGGAGAAATGATGCGTGTTATCTGAAATTCGAAAATAATTTATAAAAACTCTGATTTTGAAAACATTTATATTAATTTACGTAGCGGAAAGAAAATAAATAATAAAAAATAAAGGGAGCAGAGATATAGAGATTACATTAGAGATTTATACAAGTTCGACCAACTACTTGACATATTTATGCCCCCAAAAATTTTCTCTTAAGAGTTTCACTAAAATCAACCTAAGCTTTTACAAGATCGACCCAAACAACCTTCAACAATACTTAGAGTTTTTACACAAGATCAACTCATACACATTTTAACAACAAACATAGTTGTTACACATGTTTAGCTCAGAAACCATCATTTAAGCTTTTTTTCTTCAGGTTTATCATGTAATTTTTAAATTCTTTTCGAAGATATTACAGAAAAGAATCACACTCTTGAATAAAATAAATTAATCACAACACTAGTATAAAACAAGTCTCAAAATGACTTTTCACTCTTCCGGCACTACATTAACTCTAGTGAAAAAGAAATTTTAGAAAGAAAGAACTTAGAAAATAGTAAAGGTTTCTTATTTTAAAATCCGGTGTAAAATAAAATAAGGAGAAGTTTCTTTATATTGAAAAAGATTTGGTTCAAAAAGAAAAAATCTCTGGCCAAATAAATGATTTAAGTGATTAAATAATCTTTTAATTGATTAAAAGATCCTTAAAAATGAAAATCTTAATCCATAAAGGAAACTCTAAAATGACTATATGTGGTGATCGATTATTGGTTTTTCTAATCGATTAGAAGACATTTTTCATTTCTTTAATCGATTGGACCAAGTCGTTAATCGATTATGCAGTGGGATTATTTTTCTAATTGATTAAAAACACTTCTTAATCGATTTGATACATACTTGAATAAATTCTAAGAAGTTTAATAAAATCAAAAGAAATTTGAAAAGCGTTGTGTGAGTCTACTTGTTGCCTTAGTAACTTAAGACTTTATAATTGCCATCTTAAAATTTAAACTTATTAAACTTAGATGCTAAGCGTGGGATCAGGCGAGCTTTCACATTTTCTCACTTTGAGACTTCAAGTTCCCTACTTGATTCTACATTGAGTATAACTTTAATTTGGAACTTTGAATCATCTGACTAATGAGGCTTGAGATATGTACTGGTCAAAAAGTACATGTAAGTGTGGTATCACTACAAAGGTAGGGGATACTCAGAAACCCTGTATGGTGGTGTTTTCGATGGTAGGAGATGCTATCTCATGTGAGGTAAGGGACTTTGTGTTATGCGATATTTTGTGTAAGTTATGATTTGTTCCTTCTCCCTATTAAGTGAAGGGTATTTATATAGGACCTTGTACCTAGGACTTAGGAAACCCTAAGAGGTGATAATTGTTCCCCCTTGATTAGGGAATGTTGTTGATTACCTATTTTCTAAAAAGTTACGGTATGACTCAATCTGCATAACTGGTGGAAGGATGGTGGCTTTATGCACATGTATTTTGAGGGCGGGCCCCCATACTACACAAAGGTACTGCTTAAATGATATCTCATGGAGCGGGAACCCTTGTGTCACCCTTATTTTAGAATTTCAGAAATATAACACCATATAATCTTTCAAATACGAGGGCTTGTAAAGGGCAGGGTGTTTTAAGGCTTCTTTCAGGTTCTGTCCCACAATCTAAGACGAGCATATGCTCAATATTTTGGTACCTGGCCCTTTTAAACGGGAGACGAGTCCCTAAAATTAGGGAAAATCCCTCAGATGAGTGCGGCCTTTTTAATGAGAGGCAACTCCCTCAACTTGGGGGCAAGTCTCTTAGTTGAAGACGAGCTTTTTAATGGGAGATGAGTCCCTCAGCTGAAGGAGACCTTTTTAATGGGAGGAGAGTCCCTCAGCTTGGGGTGATTCTCTCACCTGAAGGCGACTTTTTTAATGGGAGGCGAACCTTTTTTATATTTGTGTAAGCCTCCTAATTAGAGTTAGTCACCCCTTCCACCGCCGCCAAATGTTCCCTGATTAACCAGGATGCCAAATGGGGATGTCAATCAATCATTCAAATGATTATGCTTACTTCTATTTAATGTTAGCAATTTACTTATTTTTAGAGACACAAAACACTAGGGCCATGTGCCAGAAGCGTGCTGAGCTTTTCAAAATTCTGGTGGGGGTGATGGCAATTTTAGCAATTGTACTTGTCTCGTCGAAGTAATAAATTAAATTTGTCTCCACATGGATTGCAAATTTTAACAAGGCAACGATAGTGTGAATTATAGTAAATAACAATGGGGGTGTTTCAAGGTTGATTTGGTATACGAATAAGACGAGAAAATGGTCGAAATAAAATTCAATGATTAAAGGAGATTAGATATTTCTTTTGACTCCCCTACTTATATCTGTTGTGAGTTGTGTATTAAATGAATTTATAATATGTTAAAGTCCTATAACAAAATAACAAGTCCACTACACATAATTTCTTTGTGTGCAACTCACTAATTTACACAATAATGTCTCAATTCCTTAGGTCAATTCAGAGTTAAACTAGGTGTTCTATGTTCGTTAATTCAAAAGCCACAACTTATAATTACCCGTTCCTAGTTAAATATTAAGTTGAATAATTGCCCTGGATCGGATCGGTAGACTTACAGTCAATAATTCATACACATCTGATATTCATGCGTTTATCAATACATAAAAAGCATTAAAATCAAGAATAATTAAATAATAAAAATAAAATAAAATAATTCAATAATTCAATTAATCTCAAACAACCATATGATTCAACCAAGTACAAGCAGGTTTATCTAAAAAGACCTAACTAAGGAATCTAGCTACTCATAATACATGTAGCAATTACCATGTGTTTAGACGTAGAGGACATGAAATTTAAGGAACAGAAAAAAAACCTTGAGATTATGATTTATTATCATTTATATAGACATATAAGTCCCATTCTCCTTTATGTTATAAAAACCAAGTTTTTAGAGTTAAAATGGACACGATAACTCATGTCTTCTTTCAAAGTATACAAGCGTGTCTTGAACCAATATGAGTAATCTATTTTCATGGTAAATTAATTGACAAGACCCATTAAGATCGTCTATTTAAAAATGATAACAATCTCAAGAGAATCTAAACTATTTTCATGATTTAATTCTCTCGTATGATCTTGTATATCAATATCAATCTTCATCTTTCAGTTCATCAGTTGATGTCTAATATTATGCCTATTTTCATAGAGACATGCATGACAGGTCAACAAAATTAGAGTAAAAGTTAAGATTCATAATAGATGATTATATTTGAGATCTACTAAATATTTATCGTTGGATATTCCTCATAATCCCAAGACTACGAAGATCTACTCACACATGATCATAGTAGATATAAGAAATATAATAAAAGATATCATAAAAGTAAAGAAATAATAGAAAAATAAATCAGAAGAAATAAACTAATAAAAACCTGAAATAGTTATACAAGAAGTTCTAATTCTCAACTTTTATGTATTCCAATCAATGTTTTAAAACTGGTATGATCATCGAACTGGTGAGGGTACTGTGTCACTGGTTCGTTGGTCGAACCACGTGACTAAATTAGATTAAATCAGATAACTCGATTTAATAAATCGGTTTCTATATTAAAACTATATATTTATTAAATCGGTTGAACCGAATGACTCGGTGTCTAAAAAATATCACGACAACTAAAAATCTCAAAATATCACAATTTCACATGTTCATTCTTTAAATTCAAATTCTAAATATAATTCTCACTCACAACAAAATAATACAAAATACAAATTTAAATATATTTTGAATCATTTCTAATTGCAAATAATGGAAAGTTGTTCTAAATATGTTTTGAATGAAGTCTAATTATATTTTAATTTTTTTAAATTATCAAAATATTTTTTTTGTCAGAGAAAAAAAAGCATGCATTTGAACCACCAATTTTCCAAAACTATCGGTTCACCAGGTTTTATCGATTTTGGTCAGTTTCCACCGATTCAATAGCATACCCGGTCCAACAATCATTGGTCCGGTTTTTAAAACATTGATTTTGCCCTAAAGGAGGAGCCATCTCACTTGGCACCTCCACCTAGGGTTTTGCCCTAGGCGCCATCTCACTTGGCGCCTCCTCTCTCTTTTAGCCAAGTGAGATGGCGCATGCACTTTAAAAGTGAGAGGAGGCGCCATCTCA